GAAGGATTTTTAATAAATACAAACTCTATATGCTAGCGACACAAACAATTTCAAGTATATTATGTCTCATATCATAGCTTAAAGGGCAACTCGTCAAGATTGGTAGGGTGTTTGTAAGATAAAAGCTAGGATTGTGGTTGATTTATCATAATCATCTATTAGAGTCCAATAGAATATAGATCTATTTCAAGAGAATGATTCAAAAATCCAACATAATTTGGTCTAGGATAATGGTGCAAAGTAGTCGTTCAATAATTCAAATGGATCATTTATACATATAGAAATATTTGAAGCTAATGAAGACGATGAGGGTGAATATGTATCAAAATCAATTGAAGAAGAGAAAACTTAGAAGATTATGATAACGAGTTATAATTTTATTTCGTATTCATTAAATTATATCGTCTTATCGATTATGTATTTTTTTTTATGTTTATTGTGCATTTTGGACGTGTTGAATTTTTTTTTTGTTTTAATTCATAATAATTTATATATACTTTCCGTAAAATTGATTCATCTCGTTAAATTATTTTAGGTGTTATTCTTGAGTTATGCCTCATGAATTGGGTAGATCCGCTCATTATCTCATTGGTCGTGGCTCGATGTTTATTGTATGACCGAAAGTGACGGTATGTGGACATGGCATTGCTACTCTAACTATTCGACGTCGTAGACTTGATAATAGTGTCATACGTCCGCATCTCCTCTAGTAATGCCCCTATCGGCGGTGCCTCTTGCTCGTGAATGATTCCACGATGATTTCCTCAACTCCAAGAAGTTTTGTGGATATAAAAATAGATTGACCATTTGGGTCATGAATAACCGGTACGTAATATGTTTTATATACGATACTGAATTTTATATTTTTATTTATTATATTAGAATCATTAATTCATTTTTTTTTTTTTTTTGCAGTTTGGTTCTATCAAGCAAGTGCTCCATAAAAATCATCATAATTTTCAACGAACGGTCGGACGTCGTTGGCTCCATATGGAAGTCCGTCTCAATGGAGATGAAAGAATTCTACTTTAATGACTTTAGGATGACTTATTAATTATTTACTTATATTTTATTTAAGTGTTAATTTACCATGAAGATTACTAATATTATTTGTTTCCTTCATGTAAAAGTATTTTTTATGAGATGCGATCATCAACGTACTAATCAAGGATGCATTGCGAGTCTAGCAAGGAGGCGATACGAGGATATACTTAACAAGTCGAAGATAAAAAGTAATAGACATGTGTTTGTTAAAAAAAAAAAGATGTGGAAAGCATGGCACTAGTATTAGACAACTCTTGAGTATCAAACTCGATCTCAATAGACGTCTCGAAATCGCATGTCGAAGACGAGTGGTATCGGTGCTTGGCCTATCCAAGCATACTAAAGGGTTCATCTCTTTGATCGAGCACGTTGAGCATTTGGTAAATACTATAATATCCATTATGTTATAAATTAATTTTTGTATTGATTTCATCTCATAATATTTGATTTATTTTTTTTATCATAATAAATTAAGTCATAATTCAAATATTTACTAGTTGTTCGTGACTAATCACAAGCAAAAGGATGGGATATTTATCGACAGGCGGTCGCAGAGCAGTAATGATAAGGTTTTATATTTTTTACATATATGTACATCAATCGATATAATCTAAGAAATATATTTATGATTTAATATTATAATTATTTAAATAGCTTCGAGCATGTGCAATCAATGTAAGTAGCAGTGCTAAGGAGCAACAAGAGGGTAATGCATTGTCTCAAGATATCAACATGTTTAAGATATATTTAGATGTTATCGATGGAGAGAAGAACCGGAAAGTGTACGGCATCAAAACTTATGCGTCTTAGAGTTACTCACACTTTGACATCGGCTCCTTCTTTACCACTTTCCAAGCATCTAGACTCGATTGCGAGAGTTATGGGGTTGTTAGAGAACCTCCAATAGCCTCCCATCCCTTCGCCGATCGTCCCATAACGTAATAGTCAATCGCTCCTGTCACCGACCAATAGCTAGAAGATGATGCAAAAGATGACGATAATGAGGACTAAATTTCTTTCTTTTTTTTTTTAAGTTTTAAATGTTTTTGTACATCTTAACGCATTTATATATTTAATTCTTTTATTTTAATTTATATAATTTTAATTTTATTAAATAATATATCGTGTTTTAATAAGAAGTTGTTTATAATTATTTTTTATTATAATTCCCAATAAACGACTATTGATTTATTTTTTTATTTTTATTTTTTAAATAGAAAAATTAGCAATGGATTTAGCGATAACATAGAGAGGGTAATTAGCGACAAATACATATACGGTCACTAAATAGCGATGGAATTGCGAGGATATGAGCGACTATAATTTAGTGATAACTCATTCTGTCTCTATTTTGCCACGGATTTAAGTAGAAATAGCGACGATTTAATAACGGATATAAGACATTATAGAAAACTCGATTTAGATCAATTAAGTGACGGATATTCCGTTGTTGATTAGTGATGGAAGAAAAATTCGATTGTTAAAAAAATAACGACCACCATATTAGTGATAGAATTCATATTGTCTCTAATCCGTCGCTAATTGCATATAGCGATGGATTTTTGACCGTCACTACAAAATTCTAGTAGTTAATGGCACACCATCATATAATGAGCAATTGACAAAAATCGGATGGAAATGCTTAATTAATAATTTTGAAAAAATCGGTGTATTCAAATTTTTTTTAAAAAAAAATTATGTACTCGATTGAGAAAACATTAAAAATTGATATATTTATAGTACAATTATCCCAAATTTGTTTATATATATATACACCATGAATATATCAAGATATATATTATCCCAGAAAACAATCACAAATTTAGTGTAATTGTTTGATGAATTCATTTTGGAATTTTACTATATCTCATTTTTTATGCTTCTGATGTCTTATTGTCTTTTTTTTAAAAAAAAAAAAAAAAAGCACTTTTAGAGTTTTGATGGTCCAAACCAATACCAATAAGGTATGACATAGGTTATGTATAATTAAGGAAATCTATTTTACATTATTTAGGTTTATATATATATATATATATATATATATATATATAGACGTGCAAAAGAAAACGGGGATTACATCTTAAAAAATAAGAGTATTTTTTGTAAGAAATGTTCCCCTTATATATGATTTATGGATTTGTGGTCAATAGTCCAAAAATATGAATCAATTTTTGGGTTATAACAGTTATATGCCCAATGTAATATTAGATTAAAAAAAAGAATCTCTTCAGTTTTTACATCATTGGGATTGTATAATGACTCTTTACTGATTCCTCATAAAGGTCGGTCAATTATAATCAAAGCGGATATAGAATAAAAGATGGTTTGGGTATCTAAAAATAATAATTGATTTATTAACAGAGTTAATTTAACTCCAGGATGGTTTGTGAAATTTATCAAAGGATAGATCGATTAGGGAAGCCGCCATCAAAATAGAAGAAATGTGAAATTGGTTTTAATTTTTTTTGTTTTTTAACCTTGTACTATATATAGAGAGAGAGAGTTATTCTACTCTTTATTTTATTTTATAAGACTTCTTTCATGATAACGCATAACACCTATATGTTAGAGTAAGTGAAGCATTTATGAAATTATCTAATTAAAGAAATAAAAAAACAAAAAAATTACATGAAAAGTAATTTACTTTAACTAAGTAAGTTCATTTTTTTTCTTTAGTTAATTTACTTCATTTTTATCATGTAATTTTCACCTCAAATGAGAAATTTTAAAAATGAATGAGTTATTGGATTATAGATCGTCAAGCATTTTACTTAGTAATCTAATATAAAGATGCCATGTAAACGTTCGAATTGACGCCATGTAAATGAAAAAACACATCTAATAATCAAAAAAGAAAAAAAAGTATATATATATATAGAGTAGAAGGGCTTATAATTTTCTTAGTGATAACTCCACTATAAATACAACAATATATATTTTTTTTTAATTGAGGATGTTTGAGTATAATTTTTTTTTTTTCAAAACTCGTCAATTAAATAATTTTTATCTAATTTATGTTAATAGCTTCATTGTCTCATGGCATGTTCTTTACCCTCGTACTACTAAATTATGATTTTGCTTCGTCATTATTGGAGGGAACTTCCCTTTCAAATTATTTCATCAATTTTATTTTATTTTTTTTTACTTTTTCATAGTAAGTATCTAAATTGTCCTTGTATTCAAAAAATAAAGGAAGGCAAATAATTTGAAAGGAAAAGTTCCCTTCAAGAACGAAATGATAAAATAATAATTTAGTAGTTTGGACAAATGGCACACCATTATATAATAAACAATTAGCAATTGACAAAATTCGGATGGAAATACGTAGTTAATAGTTTTGAAAAATTCAATGTATTTAAATTTAAAAAATTAAATTCATAAATTTATTTGAGAAAAAAATTAAAGCTGATGTATTTAAATTCACTCCTAGCATACAACCTAGTTCTCAAGTCCATAATAAATCAATTAGTTTATCAAATTCATTTCTAATATACCAGACATTTTTCATCAAAACGATGTTGTTTGTGTATAAATTAAAAAAAAATGTATCGAAGGATGCAATTGAAATATGTTTGATACTTTAAGGATGTAACAGATAAAGTATTAAGTTCAGAGACATGAATCGGAGCCGCTAGACAACCGGAGACTAATGTAAAGTTTCATTAATATTCGAAACACAAGGCAACATCCATAACTGCGGCGTCTAAAGCACCAGCCATGACGTTCTCTCAGCCTCAAACCAAGACTGTTGTTCCAACGGCAACTCTACTCTCATGACTATATAAAGCATGAACAAACCAAGAACAGAAGCCAATTATATTTATATTACTTTATACAAAGATTGATACATTAGAGTCCTGGTAAATGCCAACTAACAATTAAAGAACAGAAGGCTCATCCTCTATTTTAGTCTCGGTCCAAATAAGATTCCTATGACTGCTGTAATCAGTTATCTTCTAATCGTATGGATTTCTGAAGTTCTTTAACAGCTCTGGAATGTCATAACCTAACATGTCATCCACAGCTTGTATCATTTTAGGCTTTAATTTCTCAAACTTGTCCATGTTGTAACCACTCAAAACCTCCCTAAATTGCTCTACGTTTGGGAAATCACCTGGAGGCAAATGGAACTCCCTTTGGACCTGCATAAACATGAATAATGTCAATACTGTATATTTTATCGGTGCAAAATAAAAATGTCAAGATTATCTGCAATGATGATCAAAAGCAGATACAAAGGAAAGTTGCAACCTTTCCAAACTGGTCTGCCAAATTATCAAGAAGTCTTTGTTGAGCCTTTGCTTTACCCATCATAGCGGGCATCTCCTTTTTAAGATGGCTAATAATGTAAGCATGTATCTTGGCAGCTCGAGCACGTTTTACGAATTCATTTATCTGTGAGAAAAAAACATGTCATTGAAATCCTGTAAGTACACGATTCCAAGGGACAAATTCAAATTCCTGAAGCAAAAGAGTTGGAGAATATGATTCAACCAAGGGACAATCTTCAGTTTCCTGATAAACATAATTTATAAAACTGGAATTAACCTGAGGTAAAGGTTCATTACTTCATTTCAAAAACCAAGTTATGACTTTATCTGCATTTGCAGACATCTGTCTTACATAGTAAGTTTATTAAACCTACTACAATAAACTCACCCGACGATCACAAGCCTTCTTTGGTATGTCTTTTAGATCAGAAAGAAGGTCCTCCTGTTCTTTCTCGAAAAGTTCTTTCCCTATTGGACCAACAGCAGCTTCATTTACTGGTTTGTCATTGAATGAACTGCAAACCATTGTAAGCATTGTTTTTTCATCACATGAGCAAGCTCAGTTTCTCATGAAGCAAGGTTATAAAGCAAAGGCAAGAGAACCACAAACTACTTTATCAGATCTTCTTTGGCAATAGCATGTAATGCATAGGCTGATAATTTTGCACGATAAACTATGCTCAAGGAGTTAAAACAAGTAGAGTCTAGTGCTATCCAACACAAGTGGGCATGAATTAGAACATGAATAAATCAATGGCATTGTTGGATCTGCATAATCAACAGCCTTGATTAAGCCCTCTTTTTCAACCTTTTCCCAACAAGAATTTATCCAGCCAGCCCAACTTCAGTAATTAAAGCAAGAAAATATCTTCTAGTTTGTTGATGTAGCTATTAGAGTGATATTGAACTAAATTTATCAATAAAGAGCTTACCCAATATAGACACGCATAACTTCTGGAGTATTGAAAACTTTCCCAAGTGACCACATTAAAGCTCCATAGACTCTCATAAGCTGCATAATAGAACAAAACAAGTACATTAACAAATGATTCTTGTATAGCTTCTATAATTCTGTAAGTATTACAAGTGAATGTATGTCTACATGATTTATAACTACAGACACATTGAATTGAAGATTGAAAAAATGAATTAGTTGAGTGAATTCTTACTTGTTGAGTATCCACTTGATCTGCCTTATTGAGAACCACGCGAATTTTGTCATCATGACCACGTAAAGATGAAATAACACGCTTGAACTCATCGCTGACATCAAGTTTGTGAGGATCAAACAGAAGGAGAATGAGGTCACATTTTGCAGCAAACCATGACGTTACACCTGTAAAATCATAAGCTCGTTGGGTCCGTTGTTTTTCTCCTGATAAAACTCCAGGTGTGTCCACAAATGTAATATGCTCCAGCAGCTTCAAGCACAATAAAGAATAAAATGTTCAGATGCTCTGGAACAAAAATCAGAAGAACTTTCAGTGATCTTTAGATTCTAAGACTTACAGGATGTGCCATTTGAGAACATTCAAATTTTGACAAAAATGCAGTTCCAAATGTTGTGAGTCCACTGAATGGCATGTCAGCTTGAACTGCAATTGTGTTGCCTGGAATGCTTCTTTCATCAGTCCCAGACTGTATTATACAACAATTAAACTGTAATCAGTATTGCTAAAAATGAACAGATTAGTAAGAGTACGACACCACAACTAAACAATGAGTTCTAGTCTTTCCAATAAAACTAATAAAAACCAACCGATAACAAAACATAAGAAAAAAAGCTAGATTTCCTGAAATGGTTTTCCCAAATCAACTTGCTGATAAAGCTCAGCAATTACTGGGGCGGTGCCCAGGGGCCAAGAGCCAACATCAAATGATTAGATTCATCAGGAAACTCATTCTGGAAAACTTTTTCAAGAAAATTAGATTTAATCAAACTCTGGACTTAATTTCACCATAAAGTTAACATAGAGGTCTACTGAGTTTGGCAAAGAATAGGAGCTGGAATAATTTCTTCAGATGCACTTGTTACCTCTTCATCAACAACACTCCTCTCCCATGGAAAAAATGAAAATAAATAAATAAACCCCCTCTCCCTTGCTGGCATCGATTCCAAACTTCAAAACATGTTGACTTTACCATAAACCTTGCAATTATTTAATTGCTTTCCTTTAAACTGATTTCCAAATCCCTGATTTTTGGTTAGCCATGAGCTAGTGCCATCTGGACAGTTTGCATCTATAGTCTCAATAATATAGCTTAAAGCCCAATGGGCATTAACCACATGACTGTAGATAAGTCCATCAAAGTATTGCTGGCCTAAATTTGCATACAACATCCCAATTTGAACAGTTATATAGAGCATCTCCAACTTTAACAGTAGACAGGTATGTGTAACAAGAAATGGAGGAAGTTCTATTTAAAGAAATCAAAAGCACATAGTAAAAGCAAAAAAGAATCCAACAGATATATAAACAAGGAAATGAATTGGAATCTGCTTTAAAGGTTGATAATTTAAGACCAAACAAGCTTACGAATCAATAGAGTAATAATTTTTGTGAGTAAACCAAACAAGAAATTATAAGACCACATCAATACAAAAATCTTCAAGATATAACAGTCGTGAAGAAAGCCAACCAAGAGGACAAAGCAACCAGATACAAAAGAAGAGGGGAAAAAAGTAAAGGAAGACAACACTTGTACTGATAACAAAACGAGGAAATTAGAACATTGACAAAAATGAAAAAGGTAGTTCTCCTAATGTTAAATTCCAATAATTCTAACTTTAAGGACACTAAGGAACTGCACAGAGACAAAATCAGACATGACAAACACAGACAAGAAACAGCAAGAATAAAATGAATGATTTTATTGTTGGTATGTAATATCAGACAGTATCCTGGAAACACAACAGAGAATAAATTTCTGAATACCATAACAACAACAAATCTGTCAGTTGTAGGCTCGGGTCCAATATGAGCTCCTGTAGCAAAATAAAAGGGAAGTCAGTACAAGATAACAAAGTAATTCTTGGCGCGCACACACATATGCATGCACATAAAACACGTGTGTGTGTGTGTGTGAGAGAGAGAGAGAGAGAGAGAGAATCACCTGGATAACTGCTTCTAAGTAAATGCTTAATGAATGTAGTTTTTCCAGTTGAGTATTGACCCAAAAGCATAACCATAGGTTTGGCATCAAAATCACTATTTGTCTGCAGTGAACAACGCATCCATAGAAACAGACAAGTTCATATTCTATCATTGTCAGTGATCTTACAATATGGCGAAAGATCTTGCATTTAAAAAAAAAAAAATAGAAATGAACAAATCAAGGATGCTATTAAATATACTTTCATGCATATCAAGAAAAGCTGAACTAAAAAATTTTTGGCATTTTATCCACTCACCAAGAGCGGAGACACAAAATCATTAAAACGATAAGTAACTTCTAATGGCTTCAGCTTCTTAATGTACAGTCTCTTCAAGCCATCAATGATTGATGTAACAGACGAAAGAGATACCTGAAAATATACCATGAAATTCAAGTTCACAGAGAAGACAGGCTCTGTAATTTAGATACTAAAAACAGATACATACATCAAAAAATCAAACAGAATAAAATAAGGCTATAAAATTATATATTAAAATTATTACCAATAGAATTCTGATTAAAATTGTTATCATACAAATCTTCCATTTTAACAGGTGAAAGCATTGCACTTATAGCAGAAACAAACCTTCCACAACAACAGTAATTAAAAGTAAATGGAAACACATTAATTTTGTCAACATGAGATCAAGAAACACAAACAAAATAACAATAACAAGAATTAAATTCAGAATCTCCAATTGAGCAACCCATATGCAGTGTCAGGCGATTAAGAAGAGATGAATTTCAGTTAGGATTTTGTACTCTAGTTATCAAAATATGAAACTTCTGGATGAAGTCTAAATACCCAACCAATTTAGAGAAAGAAGACAAACACAAACCTTTCTTGATGGTTTTGAAGAAAACCAATTTACCGAAGGTGACAATTGCACTGTAGGAATACCTGCATTATTTGCAATTATTGAATGCACGATAATAAGGCAAAACAAAGATCAAGAATTCCAAGAGCGAGAGCAAGCGTCATTACCATTTGCTTCATTATCATTTGATTTTGAAGAACGCCTATTCTTCTGCAGACCAAAATTAAAAACATTGATAGAATGAATAGGAAAAACTAATTATAGCTGCAGCAGCACACACTGACCGCCAATAACGCATCCAAACCTTCCATTGACGGAGCTTTAAGACTTTGAAAGTCAACTGTCAATATTATTAATTATATTATATTATAAAAATCAAATAAGTATCAAATTAAGTTATTCAATTTATATATGGATACACATCATAAAAAACAAAAAAAAAACAAAAAAAATTAATACCATCGCTATTGAGGATATCATTTGTTATTTCACGCCCAGATTGCGCAAGAGAAACTAACTACAAATCAAGATAACATAAAAATTAATCTAAATTTCAATTCCAATTAATAATAACAATAAAATTAATTTAATTAATTAATTGAAACCTGCATAGCAACAATGAACTCTTTGAACCCAAGATATCCTTGTCGCTTTGAATCTGCAATCGCCCATACCTTTCAAAAAAAAAAACTTAGTAAGTATATTTCCTTCAATATAAAATTTTATTATAAAAAAAAAGAGAGAAAATCAAGAAATAAATAAACGAACCGGTTTCAGATCCTGGCGAGATAAACGAGACAATGAAAAGAATTCGGTAGCATCATTTCCGGTAACTCGACCATCACCATCTACAAAAACAAATAACAATAATAATAATAATAATAATAATTTTTATAATTGAAAGTAGCATACGCAAAATCAGGAGGAAAAAAGAAACAAGAAGAAGAAAAGAAATGCAGTAACCTGAATCGGCATAATGAAACCACTGTTGATATAAGTTTTTTTATCTTTAGAGCACGAACCAATAGCGCCTGAAGATATTTCCATTTCCGTAGGCACAACAGTGTCGCTCTTGAAACCAGACCAAATTGAATCAAAAAATTAAAATTTGAAGGTGAAGGAAAAAAAAAAAAAACCTTGTTCTGGTTTGTTTGTCTTTCTTATTTGTTTGGCCCCCGTTACCTCTGGGGAACAGGGACCTCCTTGCAGACGCAGAGGCTGGGTGTCCCTTGAGTCTTTAGAATAAAGTCGTTCTACTAAGAATTTAAGAGGTTAAGCGACCGCGTTTTGCTGAAAGACGAGCCGGATCCGGGATCGATTCTGACAAAGGCCTAACATAAGTGGAAAATGACACGGCACGTGTATTTGTTGCTTGTTATTTCGATTGGTTTGCTAAAATTAAGAATAAATGGCATGAAATGCATAGTTATTATCAAATAATAAATGTTCATACGAATATTCATATACTTTTTACATCTCATTACTCATAATTTGATTTAATTTATCATTCAATATGAGAAATATGATAAATTAAAATAATGATACAATTAATTTAACAATTTATGTACTTTTGATTATTTGTAGTTCCTTCTAATTTTTTTTCAAAATTTGAAACTTATAAATAGGTTTAATTGTTCATTAGTTTGTATATAATCTGTGGCTACGGTATGAGTACACTAATAGAGCATAGTCGGTCTACTCTATGAGCTAAGACATTTGGGAATCGAAGAAAACTTGTATGATCATAATCAAACAAAACTTATAACCAAGTTCGAGATCACACTATGATAATAAGTTAACATGAGGACTAAATTATATGATAATCATGCTCATAAAAGATAATAATAGATTAATTAATCTTTCTAGAAAATTGGATAATTATGATGTCTTGCTAGATGTCAATCTTGATTTATGTATTAAGAGATAAAAAGAGAATTCTTTTGTTCTTAATACATTACCAACATATTTAGGAGCCTATTGAGTCACACGCATAAGCTTAAGTATTCACATTATGAATAAGAAGCAAAGATATTAAAAAAAAGTTTTCAATTCTAAAAGTTTCCTATTTTGAAAAGGGTTTCCAAAATGAGAAGTTTCCTTAAATGAGAAGTTTCCTAAAATAGAAAGTTTCATTAATTAGGAAGTTTTCTAAAATGAAAAGTTTTCTATTTTACAAATCAATTTCCTAATTTGGAAATTGGTTTCAATTTTGAAAATAAATAACCAAAAATGGAAATGAATTTCCTCGATTAGGTTAAAGATTATTTTGAAAAATTATTTCCTAATATGGGCTCGCCTAAAATAATCTAAAATTATTTATTTGGATTATCCAAATAAATTAATTGGGCTAGAATGGTTTTGGCCTATTAAGTTTAACTAAAAGCCTTAAGAAATTTTGGTGGAAGGATAAACATCAACCTTATTAGATAAGGATGAATGTTTTAAAGATAATGATCAAAAAGTTCAAATTTAAAATAACTCATCTTCCTTAAGCAAGCAATAACCTAAAGTCCTTTAGGGAGTCATTGTTGCCCCTCTTTTTGTCCTTAGAGGACAAAGAAACTCTCCTATAAATATATAGGAGAGAGAGAGGTATGGCAATACAACAAAATAAAAGAAAAAAACTAAGCACAAAGATAGAGAAAAAGGAAAATTTTGACCAGACCTCAAAATTAACTAGAGGCACATGACAAAATGAGGAAAATAAAGTGAAAAATAGTTTTCTCCAAAAACCTTAGCATAAATATACTTTTTCCTTCTCTTTTAAGGTTGTCGTAAGTATCCACAAAGAAGAACTAAAATCGATAGGGTGCTAGCTTTATTCTTTTTGATTTGTGTAGTGTTTCCTATAAAAATCAATCCGGGTAAAAATTACCCGAGATTGATTTTTATAGGAAACACTACACAAATCAAAAAGAATAAAGCTAGCACCTTATCGATTTTAGTTCTTCTTTGTGGATACTTGGACTGCGCAAATCATCAATAGAGGTCGGACAATTGGATGACTTTTCCGATTAAAGAATTTAAATCGCAGCTTATTAGAGATAATCTTTTATTTATTGCTTCCAATTCATGCATATATTGTTAATAGATTCAACGGCTTGATCTTGGGCCCTTAGATTGAGAAAAAAATTTATTCCGCACCTCCATAAGATGCATGATCCTTTCATTCAAAACATACAAACTGTTATCAATCAAAACATTTCCATATAAAACTTCATCTTTAAAAAGAACAACCATTATTATTAAATAAAATAAAAAATTTATTTCAAATAAGAAATGGAAATAACATCCTTAGTCTATACTAAGAATAAAATAATAATAGTTATTGAATCCAAGCACGAGATCGAATGGTAGTGCTAAATCATAAGCACTTATAACTAATGGTCCAACTCTTGATCCATTCTTTGTCGTGTAGGTCATGCTCCTTGAAGCTATTTTTTTTTCTTTTTAAGATGCTCTACATATAAAAAATGTGAGCACTAAATATAGTATCACATACCCATGAAGTGGGATTAGAATTTAGAAAAACTAGCTTTAATAACATAAATACTCGAGGTGCTTATAGAATTCTTCTTCTTTGCCTCTTCAGGTACTTTTTACAATTGCGCTTCCAATCCACTTTTTTGTTGCAATGAAAGCATATCGCATCCTTTAAGCTATTCTAAGCCTTAGGCTTTTTCACCCCTTTAGTAGGCGTAGTAAAAGATTTCTTCTTCTTTTGGTGCTTAGGCTTTTCCTTACCCTTTACAATACTTTTTCCCTTATTAATAATAAGTAGAGAACTCTTATTCTTCTTAATAATCTTAGGTTGAGTTTCCCTCGGCATGGACAATAACTCTCCAAGAGTCTTTTTCATGTGTATCATATTAAAGTACATGATGAACTATCTAAAGCTATTGGGCAATGATTACAATACTAAGCCATCTGGATAATTCAACATCCATTCCAACTTGAAGCTCGACTAGCCATACAGACCTATCATCTTAGTGACATGTTGTTTAACATTAGATACTTCAACCATTGTGGCTCTAAAAAGGTTCCTAGCTATCTTATAGCACTCATACCTATTACTCTTCTCAAATAAGTTTTTAAACTTTGTTATGATATCAAAGGCATTCACACCTTTATGTTGATGCCTATACTCTAATGTTATAGCTACTAGCATGATACTTTGTGAGATGATCACATCATCCCTATGTTTGATCTATGCTTGCATAAGCTTCGACTTGATCTAGAAAAGGCTCGACTGGGAGAGGTGTCTCTATCATATAGAGAATCTTCTCATGTTAGAGAATTATCTTCGATTCATTTTCCGGTCGAGGAAGTTTGTATCATTAAAAGCATTGCTTTCATCAATAATCAATCATATTGATATGTTACCAGATCATATTGTGCAATTTGATAAGATAAAAAATGTACGGTTTAGTGAATTGAATTGTATAAATAAAACAAAATATAAATTAAAGAAGTAGATTCTATATTTGCTCATATTATTTTCTTTAAGTTTTATAACCTTCAATATAGGACTTCTCGATTTGTTTTCCTTAGTGGGTTAGGATCTCATTCTCTAACATACATTAACCTTAAGTTATCTTAACAAGTTATACATGAAGGATTAGGTAGGTAACTCCTTACCAATTACATCCAATGTAATTCCTAATCTAATTGGTATGACAACTCTTTCTCATCTCATATCTTATATGAATACCAATCTTTTTCTATAAATTTATTAGACCTTAAGTTACATTAATAAACCTAACAATTCATTTCAAGTTAGACCTAAACATTCAAAGACATCGTATGGCTCATAATTTGATTCCCTCAAGGAAGAATTGACTTGAGTTATCTTAATAAGCCAATAATGACCAAGAGAGTTCTCTCCTCATAGCGTTGGAATACATTTAACTTGATATTAATTTGAATGATTTAATATGATAGGCCCAATCCTAGCATGTATACTAGTTATTAATCATATTAATTCTATCATGTCTGCTATCAATCGCACAATAAATACACATATCTCATACATGACTCTAGGATAGATAAATGATAATGAATCTTTACTACTAGTCCCGTTGAATAACAAGGAGACTAGTGGGTCAAATACCTAGGTGAAAAATTATTACAAATTCTTTAAGCTTGACTTATCTTCTTGGCTTCTTCTTCACACATCTATTCTAACATCCTATCTTCTACTTCTATATTTCTTTAAATAAGAAACCTCAAGTTACATTCAAGGAAAGTAAGATGGGAAGAGAAATACATCAAAATGATAGAGAAGATAGGACATACGAGCCTTATTTAACCAAAAAATTACAAACATATATTTCTAAAAATTAGGTCGACTCATCCATAACATTCACACAACTTCAATCACATTGATATATAGCATACTAATGAAACATATTTCATTTAATTTCATTTAAGTCCATGTTTTGATCATTTTATAAAAATATTAAAATTTTTCTAAATTTTAATTTTTAAGATTTTTCAAGCCCCGAGCCCATATTAGGCCATTGACTTTTAGGCTTTGAGGCTCATAGGTCGCCATACCCTAAGTGGCCACTATTTTAGCAATGCCTGACAACTACCACTAGCTTAGTAAGCTTGTTCATACCGGCCGATGGCCGATGCTTAGCATTAGTCTTGGTCGGCCGATTAGCTACTTGTATTGCATTGGCTTGGTCGCCCATAGGCTAATGCCTAGCACCGGTCCGGTGCCAATTGACTCGGCATACTTGCGCATAACTAGCCTTGATATGGCATACTCGTACGCATGTCCGGTGCATACTTAATGTGTACGACGTACGACCTAGCATACGCCCAACACATGACTAGCTTGGCTAGAAGGTCCGGCATGCTTGAGGCACACTCGGCCTATCACGTGCCGGTATGTGATCGGCCCGACCTAGAGGGCATGGTGTGAACGAGGGATAAGCGGCCTATCGCATGCCCATTGTGCAACTAGCTCGGCTTCGTAAGTCATACGCACGAGCATTAACATCCAACATTAGCGTCGCACGTACCCACTTATTTTTAAGTCT